TGAGCTGATATTGGTGACAGGAGTGTCTCCTGAGCACACACTGGTGACACGAGTGTCTCCTGAGCTCACATTGGTGACATGAGTGTCTCCTGAGCACACACAGGTGACACGAGTGTCTCCTGAGTACACATTGGTGACAGGAGTGTCTCCTGAGCACACACTGGTGACATGAGTGTCTCCTGAGCTCACACTGGTGACTTGAGTGTCTCCTGAGCTCACACAGGTGACTTGAGTGTCTCCTGAGCACACACTGGTGACATGAGTGTCTCCTGAGCTGATATTGGTGACACAAGTGTCTCCTGAGCACACATTGGTGACATGAGTGTCTCCTGAGCTGATAGGGATGACATGAGTGTCTCCTGAGCTCACATTGGTGACACGAGTGTCTCCTGAGCTCACATTGGTGACATGAGTGTCTCCTGAGCTGATATTGGTACAGGAGTGTCTCCTGAGCACACACTGGTGACACGAGTGTCTCCTGAGCTCACACTGGTGACACAAATGTCTCGAGCTCACACTGGTGACATGAGTGTCTCCTGAGCTCACATTGGTGACATGAGTGTCTCCTGAGCTGATATTGGTGACAGGAGTGTCTCCTGAGCACACATTGGTGACATGAGTGTCTCCTGAGCACACATTGGTGACATGAGTGTCTCCTGAGCTCACACTGGTGACATGAGTGTCTCCTGAGCTGATATTGGTGACAGGAGTGTCTCCTGAGCACACACTGGTGACACGAGTGTCTCCTGAGCTGATATTGGTGACACGAGTGTCTCCTGAGCTCACATTGGTGACATGAGTGTCTCCTGAGCACACACTGGTGACATGAGTGTCTCCTGAGCACACACAGGTGACACGAGTATCTCCTGAGAGCCCGGGGACCCTGCAGAGCACTTCAGTCAGCTGGGATGAGCCAGCTGGTGCGAACTGCAGTTCCATCCTGTTTCCAGAGTCACTTTTCCAGAGGTCTGGAGTACCCTGGGTTTTAATCAATGCTGACATTGGGCAGTTATGGCTTTAAGATGAAGGAGGGGAGATTTGGATTAGAGATCAGGAAGGAATTCCTCCCTGTGAAGGTGGGGAGGCCCTGGCACAGGTTGCCCAGAGCAGCTGTGGCTGCCCTATCCCTGGAAATGTCCAAGGTCAGGTTGGAGCAACCTGGGATAGTGGGAGGTGTCCCTGCCCATGGCAGGGGGTGGCACTGGATGAGCTTTAAGGTCCTTCCAACCCAAACCATTCCATGATAATGGAAGCTTTGAAGTTTTTCTGATCCCTGAGTGCTTCCCCTGCCTTCAGCTCCCCGTGAAACAACTTCATCCCACATTTCCTTGGGATGGGGGTCTGGTGCTTCCCATCCCTGAGGGGTTTGGTGGAAAGGTTGGAAAGGCAGTAAATGATACGAACCAAAACTGAAATGCAACTTGAGGAGCTCCTGCTCTGACACCCCTGCTGCTTCCCAGGGGTTTATCTGTGGGAATGTTCCTTAGGATTTCTCACATCTCCTCCGTGTCCCTCTCAGGTACTGCACTCCTCGACACCAGGATTTCGAGGACTTGGAGCGCAAGTACTGGAAGAATCTCACCTTTGTCTCTCCAATTTATGGGGCTGACATCAGTGGCTCCCTGTATGATGCAGTAAGTGAAATGCTCCTCTTTTGTTCCTTCTTCCTTCTGTAACTTCTTGATTGCTCTTTTCTCATTGATTAATAATTTCTTTGATTGAGCCGCCCTTAAAAAAATAATACCTTTATTGTTATTTTTTCCCTCGTTACAAAGCTGAGACTAAACTTTCCACCTTCTTCAGAGGTTCAGGATAATGGTGGCATAAAGGAAGCTGGGAAAAGCTTAGTTTTAGTAGAAAAATATGATTTAAGCAAGTTCTTATGAAGTGGATGGCCAAAAATTATGTATAGCTTGGGTTTTGTTTCTTTTTTTTAAGGGAATAAATAAACCAGAGATTTCTGCTGAAGCTCCTTAGAGAGCCAGAAAAAAAAGCAGCATTTCAAGGAATTGGTGCTTCATCAAAAATAGGGGTTTTTTTGATTCTTAACACAAATTATTTGTGTTTGGATTTGAAATGATTTGCATTTGGATTTTTTCTTTGTGAGCAGCTCCATTAGGACACAATGCACCTGCACACTGAGTTATTTCACAATTCAAATGGTTGAAGCTTTTCCTTGGTGAAATTTCATCCTCTGCTTAAAGTAATTCTGCCGTGGTCTCTTCTGCTGGAGATGATAAAGGTTCTTCTCTTCTTTCCCTGTTTAGGCAGATAATTTAAATCTCTCCTCTGTAGTTTTCTTTGGAGTGGAAAGTGGCTCTTTTTTGGAGTGTTTTCTGATTGTCTGAGTGTGGAAGTGTTAATGTAAAAGTGTCTTTTTATTATCAGTGGGGTTTAATATGGAATTAATTGGAATAAGCAGAGGTATCTGAGGCCTTCAGAGCCATGGGCATCACAGGTATCCCTAGGATTTGGTGCTTGGATGAGAGTATCTCATTCTGTTACAATATAGGATTAGAATTACACTATAAAGCAGATAGACTATATAATATAAAGAATGTAGATGATATAAATTACAATATAAAATTATAATGTTTTTTAATATCCACGTTCTTTCCCTGGTGTGATCAGGGCAGGTGACATAATGAGACACTCCTTCTTTAGGAGAAGTAGCTCCTGCAGTGAACTCCACATACATTGGGTTTCCTTCAAGTTCCTGTGAGCAGAAATTAAACTGAGTTACCAATCACACCTAAAGATCATTTCCTGTTCTCAAACTGCTGCCATTGCTGCAAGAATTGAGGTGGGAGAGTCCCTGAAAGTCGTTCTCCCTCTGCATCATCTCACTTTTCAGCCACTTCCCTCCTTCAGCCCTTTCCTCCCTCCCCCTGGTTTGGTTTTTTTCCAGGCTGATTTGGAAAGTTTCAAGACTGAGCAGCCTGAGAAAAGGATTTGGAAAGTTTCAAGACTGAGTTTCACTGTCCTGCTGCTCCAGAAGCAGCATCCTGGAGCAGGGAGTGCTCCCATCCCTCAGTTTCTTCCTCACAAATCAAGTGCACTTGGAAAAAAGGGTGTGAAGGAGGCTCTGAGTTTCCTTTTGGAGATTGTATCAGTCTTCAGGTTTGAGATTTGCTCCAGTTAATGGTACAAATTCAAATTCTCGAATTCATGTTGAAGCAGAGAAAAGCAAGTGTCAGATTTAGAACTACCTGCTGCTTTTTTTTGTCTTATTGATAAAACCAGGGCTGTCATCCCTGTTCTTTCCCTGAAACACTGAGCTGAGGGGGGAAGATTTTGCCTCTTTGGCCACATTAAGGTCACATTATGATGTTCATCAGGTGGAGAAAACCTGCCTGGAATGTCTTTGGGAGAAATGTGTTTTACCCTGAGTTTATCTTGTGTTTATTCACAGAATAGTTAATTAATTAGTGGGGTATTTTATAGTGCAAGTGCCTCTTCAAAGAACACATTAGTGAGGGGCTGGTGATCCTTCCTTCCTGTGGTCAGTGCTGAACATGAAATAAAGCTTTCTGGAAGCAGGTGGAATTCAATGAATGCAGGTGATAACACCCTTATATCCAGCATTTTAAGGCATTGAAAGGAAGCTGTGGGCTGTGATTCTTCCTGAGAAGTTCCAAACATTTCTCCTGAATTCCAGGACGTGGATGAATGGAACATTGGCAACCTGAACACCCTCCTGGACATGGTGGAACACGAGTGTGGCATTATCATAGAGGGTGTGAACACTCCCTACCTCTACTTTGGGATGTGGAAGACAACTTTTGCTTGGCACACAGAGGACATGGATCTCTACAGCATCAACTACTTGCATTTTGGGGAGCCAAAATCCTGGTAAGTGAGGGCTGTTGCCCTCTGCTTGGAGAGCCCTGAAAAATCCTTTTCTCCAGATCTGCCAAATTCCATCAGATTAATAACCTCTCCATTCCCTTTTTTTTGCTCTCCTCTCCTCCTCTGCATTTAAAAGCAGTTTGACTTTCTTTCTTTCGTGCTGCCTTGCTCAGAGGGCCTGATTCCTGGCTTTTAGGGAGACTTGTTGACATCATGATTAAAACCAGATTTCAACACTTGGGGGATTTTTGCAAACTAATGCACAGCAGAGCAAGTGGTGATGGGAGTGTGTGGATGCTTCAGATGCACTGTCATAGTGAAAGTCTGTTGTTCTTGCACTGTGCTGTAGGCAGGAAACATCTGTTGCTTTAAAATTTCCATTATTTAAATCCATAAATATGTTTGCAGCTCCAGGGACAAACTAGGGCGAAGGGTTATTTTTCCATAGTCAATTTTTGGCACGATTGCAAGCATCTTTTAACACTGTTGGTGCACAGGCTGGTTGAAAATAACTTTCCACAAAAGTAATCAATAGTTAAGGGTGAAATTAAGAACGTAGAAAAGTCTGGAGTAAATTCCCAGGAGCCAATATCCTTCTTTTTCGAGCAGTTTAAAAGTATAACCACAGAGACTTTGCTGAAGATCTTGGTGTGACTAATAAATATTGACATTTGCCTGCAAATTAGAGCTTAAATGTCACAGTGGAGCTGCTGTCATTGTGCCCTGGCAGTGGCAGGTGAGATCCCATCCCTCAGCCCGATGAGTCCCTGGTGACACCGAATATCTCCGGGAATGTCGGTGCCTGTGGGCTCATAAAAGCCCCCAGGAACCAGGAGGCTTTAATGAATGGCTCTAATGCTCTTTTCCAGCCCTGGAAAGGGGTGGAAGGAGGGGCTGAATCTGTTGTAGCATTAATGTGGATTTTAAAACTCCTTCCGACACGTCGGGAGATGTTTCCTGACGTTCCCGATCCTTCGCCTCCCTCGTTCAGGTGGGTTTTTGCAGGATCTCTTGTGGTGCCTCTGTTAAACAAGCCTGAGTCGAAGGAAAGGATTTCTGGATTGTAAATGGGGTGGGAAATGCTCTCAGGAAAAGGTTCTTCCCTCGGAGGGGACACCAAAGTTTCAGCACCAAACCTGCCCGAGCTCCGGGAGTGTTCAGACAACGCTTTCAGGGATGGGGGGAATTGTTGGGGTGTCTGTGCAAGGCCAGGAGTTGGGCTGGTGATCCTTGGAGGACTCTCCAGCATATTCCAGGATTCTCTGGGTTTAGATCCTGTCGGTTTTTCCTCCGGAATCATCCCGTTCCAGCCCCTTTTCCCGGTTCCCATCTCCACCAGGTGGTGCCGCAGCACGTGGGAAGCTCCTCATCCCCTCCCACCACATCCCCCAGTGTCACCTCCAGCCTGGTGCTCCCTCCCCTGGTGTCCCCACCCAGCCCTGCTTATTCCAGGAGCTGTGGGAGCAGCTGAGCCGAGCTCTGGGTTGGGTTGTTCCCTCCTGTTCCCTCTCTCTGCTCCTTCCACCCCTGGGTGTTAATGGGCTCTGACTCACCCCGTGTGCTGCCTGGAACGGAGGGTTAACACTTTCCAAAAGTAGAAATAAGAGCAAATTCACCCTTAAAACAGAAGCTGGAAAAGCAGCAGGAAATCACTGGCTGTTCTACAAACCCACAGTGTGAGTAAAACTTAAAAGAACAGCTGCTAAATGGAGTATACACGAAGTATTTGTAGCCTCATTTAAACTGCTTTTCTTCTTGCACTTCATGCTGGTTTGGTTTTTTTTTGGTGGTTTTTGTTGTTTTCCTTTTTTTCCCTTGGTTTGATGGTAGTTTTTTGGTGTTTAGTGGGTTTTTTGTGGGTTTTTTTGGAGTATTGTAGCTCTGATATGTGGATATCATAAGGATATGATATGATATCATATCCTAAGGATGAGAAACTCTTTGCATGAAGCTGTTGCCTCATCTTTACTAAACAGTGTTTTTTCATAGAATCCCAGAATGGTTTGGGTTGGAAAGGCCCTTAAGGATCATCAAGTTCCAACCTCCTGCCATGTCTATATATTTCTGTGGGAAATAGGGATTGTACAGAGAAACAAAACAAACCTCCCAAGAGTAAAACTCAAAGCACCTTTGTGTGGCACGTTTGGGTGAAGAGGTTAAAAATCAGAAAGAACTGGAAGTTATAGATGCAAAATTGCATCTGGCAAGTACCAGATTTCAGAAGTTCTTGGGAGCTCTTATTTTTATCTGATCTGCTGAGAGTTTTGGGGAGAAGCTGGGGAACAGCTAAAATCCCCCTGAGAGGAGTTGAGGAGTTCAGTCACTGCTGCTTAGAGTGGGAGTAGAGAAGAGAAATCATAAAATCTGCTCGAAATTTTTACCAAGGAGCTCAGGTGTCGCTGCTTAAAAACCCCAAGCAGGAACTTGCTCTGCACCTGCTTTGTTTGTCGCTTTTTAAATGCCCTTTCCCCCCTATTTAAAAAGGGGAGGAGGATTTTTATGCAGTGATTCTGTGTTTGTGCAGTTCTCTGGCAGTCACTGGTTCTCTGAACCTCCCCCAGCTGGGGGGAAAAGGAGGATTTTGAGGACAGACCATGTTCTGAGCAAAGTGTTTTCCCGTCCAGTGGAGTTTTTCTTATATAAATGCCAGTGTGTGACACAGAACTAGATGGGCTGTGACAAGATGCCACTGCTGGTTTGGCAGGGCCTCCCTGCTGTTCCCTTAAGCATAAGGCAAGAGTTTGCCACTTGCCCAAGTCATTTCTTCCTTGTTCTTCACTGTGACAGCTCCTGTTAATGAGTTCTCAAGCTCTTCCCTGAACAAGCTTCCAAAAGTAAATCTGAATATCCCTTGGAGCAGATCTGGAACTTTCCAGGTACCTGAGCAGCTCACCGTGTTCTGGAAGTGGTTGCAGCCATCCCAGAGCTCAGCTGGGGGAGCTCTTGGACTGCACTGCTGGAATTCCAGTGGTGCAGCCTGGCTTTACTCAAGGATGGCTGAAATGTTCTCTCTGTTTTGCTGGCACCACCTCTGTGGAAATTTCCCAGCTTCCTTCATCCTTTTTATAGACTCTGTGACTCTGACAGTGATCATCTTGGAAGCACCTCAGGGAACAGCAGGAGTGTGGAGAGTTAGGAAGTCTACCAGTTTGGGTTCTGAGCTCTAAAATAAGAGGCAGAGTTATTGTTTGGCTGTCAGAGATATTTATATAGTGAAACCAAGGACTCTGTATATTGGTAGTATTCTGCTTCAAAACTGCCTGTTAAAAACCATAACTCTCCCTTGGTGTCTCCCATAAATTATCTTTATCTCTAATCCAGGCTGTCTCTCACAGCCCAGCTCTGCAGGGGAAGCTCTGTGGGAAGGCTGAGGAGCCACCAGCCCTGTCTCCTTCCAAGGGGAAGGGGAGAAAGGAGTTGGGCTCCTTGAGGTTCCCTGCCAGACCTCATTCAAGTGGGTTCTACAAAAAAAATCTCTATTATTAGACAGAATCCAAGAATTTTTAGGGTTAGAAGGGACCTCTGGAGATGATTCAGTCCAATCCCACCTACCCAGAGCAGGTGGCACAGGAATGTGTCCAGGTGGGTTTGGAATGTCACCAGAGAGGGAGACTCCACACCCTCCCTTGGCAGCTGTGCCAGGGCTCTGCCACCTCCATGGAAAGAGGTTCTTCCTCATGTTGAGGTGGAACTTCTTGTGTTTTAGTTTCTGACCATTCATTCCTCCATGTCCTGTCAGTCACTGGAAAGACTTTGGCACAATCCTATGGACACCCCTTGGAGATATTTATACAGATTGATAAGATCCCCTCTCAATCTTCTCCAAACTAAGCAGGCCCAGCTCCCTCAGTCCCCCCTGACAGGAGAGATGCTGTGCAGGAGCTGAAGGACCTTCTCATGGAGCTCTGGGTGGTATTTTGGGACAACTTTGACACCTTGGTGACAAAGAATCTGTCTCCTGGGTCAGGGAGGATTCTTACTGAGTGTTTTGTGCCTTTCATTCCTGTCTTTGCAATGTTCTCTCTTACAAAACAGGTGCTTTGGGGCCTGTTGGGATTGCAGGTAAAATAAATGTCTGTGGCTCAACATCTCAAAGTGGCTTCTTTCTGTGACCTAATGAGCATCTGCTGGGTCGTGCAGCTCCTTGATTAATGTGTGTCTCTGTCACTGCAGAGAAGTGCTGCTGCCAACACTCCTGGTGCTGTTCCTTTCCATCAGCAGAGGCAGGACAGGCTGCAGCAGTCAGAGGTGTCTGCACAGGGTTGTGTCCCTGGGATGCAGCTTCAAAAATTATTCAGCAAAAGTGAAGCAGTCGAGCAGCAAAGGGTCACCCAGCCGTGAGGGAGAGGAAAGGGGTAATGGAAAACAAGCTCTTTTCCTGCTTCTCATTGAATAATTTAGATTGCAATGCCTTTAGTTCTTAAATTCTGTTGTGCTGGACCAAGAAGGAGGAGCACTGGTGTGTCTCTAGCCCTGGTTGTGCTGCAGGGACCTGCCCTGCCCCTCGGGTTGGACTCACCTCCTCCCAGAGACGCTGATCCCTCCTGACGTGCCGTTCCCAGGCACACGCTCTGCTCCACATTGTGCTCACACTGCTGTTGTTTTTAACTGGAAAATCGCTCTGACAGCCTGAAGAGATATTATGGAAGGTGTGGGCACTTCCCCTCAGACCCCCCAGGAGCTGGGAGCTGTTGTGTAACCTCATGTGAAGCCCCTCAGGCAGCTGCCAGAGCGAGCCTTTGACTTGCTTTTTCTCCCTCAAATTACAATAAAATGTCCCTCTCCCATTAGGAATTTAATTACGACCCTTTCATGGTCTCCAACTTTTGAAAAAAACCCTGAAATATGTTTCATTTTGCAGCCCTGTATTAAACCTCTGGTGGTGGGAATTTTTGCTGTATCAATTATACATATTATGTGTAATCACCTCGTGCGTTCCTATGCTGAGAGCTAAAATTGAGCATATTATCAAGTGGAAACTCATTTTTATAATGACAGAAGCA